GAAGCCACCATCCACAAACTTCTGATATAAGCTTGTGAATCAGGAAATATGATATTCCTTATGCGCCCGCAGAACGTCTCATGTGAGGTAGAGCACCTCGTTCAATTAATCTATTTCTAAGCTGGTCGATGGCTGTTAAGTCTGTCCACAAAGTATGCAATAGCTTACTATGCCTACGACCTTCATAAATCAAGGATGACGTCTTCTCCACTCCCAGCGTTCGCGTAGCATTTTTGTAGGGCAATATACTCGTTGGAGGCACCGTACGCCTCAACATTTACCAATTCTTTTTACCATTACTGCTGAATTTGTTATTAGTAGGCATGCTGAAGAGCTAAAAGAAGACGGATTCGCTGTAAACAGGGCTGGTTATCGACCGCTTGCCGCGCGCATGTGATGCTCCTCCTCCTCCTCCTAAAACCGGACGCTTATGTCCTACTCGACCTGATGTCGTTGTTTTAGCCTTGTGTGAGTTAGCGACCTAGGTGTGAACTCTTCAGGACGTTTCAGCACTCGCGCCGACTTGCGCTTAGGCCAAGTGGGCGAATGCTGACTTTGGGCAGGCCTCGTACAGCCTGTCAAAAACAAAGCTAACAAGCATCAGAGTGCGCGAGTTCACGGAATCTTTTTAAGGCCAAGCTGTGACGAATGTCAGACATAATTAGTACATTCACCACTCGGAAAATTTCTTGGGAACTATACATTGATAATCGTGGTTAATCGCCCAGACAAAGCTTCGACTGAAATTATTAGCGAGGGCGAAAGCAATTTCTACGTGGGCGTCTATTTAGCGCTGTCGTTTTTCCACAGCAACTGGGGCCAATTTTTCTTACTTTATCTACTAACTTGGTCAAAATACCATTTCAACGGAATTAAAGTAGATTGCCCATCTCAAGAGACAGTAACCGATAGTCCGAAATGCGTATTCGATTCAAATAAACTACTTGAGTACGGCTCTAATATCGGATTATCATATCGCCTTATCTCAACATACTTCAGTCATGCCAGCCCGCCTCTGGACTAGTTCTTTTCCGACCACCTGTGGACGAATGATAACTTCAGAACTATGCAGTGATCTCAATGACTGTCAACTTCCTTACGAATCAAAATTCGTTTTATGGAAACATGC